GGGGGGGGGAGAGGGAGGGGAGGAGAGAGGGAAAGGGAGAGGGGAGTTAGGGGGGAGAGGAGGATGAGGAGGAGCATCAGGAGCAGCACCTGCGACAAAATGCTCGTGCCGTTTTTTTTCTGGAGGTCCAGCACATTTTCTTCGACGGCAACGTCGAGAAGGCACGTCTTCTTTTCGGAAATTGCTCTGGAGCCTAGCGCATTGGCAATCGGAAGAGCGCCGCTTGTGCACTTCACGGGTGTTCACAAGCTGACGCCAGGAGGATGCCGCTTGTGTCGATGTAACTTGTCTGATTTGTCAGTGTGGTATATACCCCAGATGTGCTGCGTAGTTCACCTGCCTCTGCTGCGTGGCAGGTTCGAAATGCTGTGAATGGAGAGCCGATTCCATTGGAGAAGTCTTCAAACGTGTACTTGCATCGTGTTGACATCTTCCAGGCTGCCGATACAGAGTGCCCATGCAACGGGCTGTCATGTCGTGTGCCGAAAGCAGACCATCATGTGGCCCAACCCTCACCTTCTGCGCAGGCAGTGACTGATGTTGAATATTTCCTCAAGGCGACGGAGGCGTGATGCCGATGGTGAGCAGTGCTGGGACACGGACAGTTCGTGTTGGTGTCTACCGACAGGCATGTGAGCTTAGCATGTCCAAGATGATCGTGGAGGAGAGAGTCGACTACTGCCGCATGCTGCAAGAGTTCTGTTTGGCTTCCGTTTGAGCCACCATCAGGACAGACACGCAGAAGGTGTGGTCAGGGCACTTTCCGAGGAGGACGCCTCCGGACCAAGTTCGCAAGCGTGTGAAACTGAACGAAAGGCTGCGGCGGCAGCGTGCGTCGTGCCTGAAGGAGCAGAAAAAAGCCGCGGCAGCTGCTGCGGCCATGACTCCCAAGGCATGGCTGCATCATGCCTTGGTTTCATTGCTTTGTCTGGTCTATGTACCCAGGTCTACAGGGGCTGTAGAAAGTTCAGTTCCGGAGTGGAGTAGGGATTGGGTTAACGGTGCCATCAACAGCGGGAAATTGGGTTGTTTGACGAAGTTTACTGTGGCTTGGTCGAATGTGGCTTTGAGCTGCCTCTTGGATCACGAAAAATTGGCTCCTCGCTGGCGTCCATTCTGAACCGTTGCCCAAGCTCTCCTCATCCCTGATCCCGAACCGTTCCTGCCAGGAGTGGCTCTACCGCAACATCATTCCGGCCCTCCTGCCCGCACTAGAGGCGTTGGGTCGGGACTTGTGGGCCTTCCGAATTCTGAGCTAAGGAATACACCACGTATTGTAGTCAATGCAGCGCACCGCTTCTTCGGGAAGTATGCTGTGCTCGTTCCTGCCTATGAACATCTCCACATCCAAGGACGTTTAGCTAGCCAAATACCTGAACTTCTCACAGAATTAAGTTCTGTGACATTTTTAGACTCTGCTGGGTCGAGCGCGACTTTGCAGTATGAGACACCGTGACCCAGCGCGTCGATGAAGTGCGGTGTAGTATGGTATGCAAGCACGGGAAATAGTGAGAGAGCCTCTCATGAAGTGCTTCCACAGGCGTGCCAGCGAGACCGTCCCGAGGATCCCATCGAGTCGGAGACCTGGACCTAGACATCGTCATCCATTTAGGGCAGATCCTGGGGGGCTTGGTATGTGGGGGTACGGGTCTACGCTCTGTTTGCTCTTCTCTAACAGCCACACCTTGGGTTTTCCCTCAAGGCCCGGCCTGGTTTCCACAGTAGGCCCGGCTTGGGAACTTCGGTCCTCAGGCCCCAGGTCGGTATGAAAACGAGTTTCGAGCCTTGAGTTATCTTGTTCGTTTTGAGTCCCTCTATCATCATAGTACTACAATAGTATAGTTCCATCATAAATCATAATGTATTCCGACTATACGGGTCTGACGCATGCGGTGTGTCCCGTGGCTGCGGCAATACTTCCGAACGAAAGGCCGACATTTAAATTTTGCCTGTTGTAATCTACACGTGCATTCGGTCCATCGTTTCTTCTTGCAGATGGTGCGCATAGCTTCGCCTTCCCCGAAGACTGCAGTCCACCACGTTCCTGAGGGCATGTAGTGGGCGTCCAGAGCGGCTACTAATCTCCAGCGCCGCCATGCTGCTCACCATTGCTCACTCATCCCAACATGCTTAGCTGATCCTGGGCATAATTGTTTTGGTGAGTGTGAGTGAGTGAGTGTCCGGGCGTTTTCTTGACCGTTCAATTTCGTTATGATACGGCGATACACAGCCGTATGCACTAGAGCAAGAAACAAGGCTGTGTGAGAATATGTCGCTGCTAAGGTCTCCGTAAGTATGTTAAGTATGTTCGAGTGATCCTGTCAGAAGCATGCCGAGAAATGTGAGCAAAACCCCATTAGCCCCAATCTGAGGTTTATTGCATTCTACATGCTTCGCCACTCAAAGCAGCACTGCACTGAGTCGACCGTGCCAGCTTTGATCGCAGATGGTTCATGTGTGCTTCCCGGACAACCATTGTTGACTGAGGTATTCGAAAACGTTGAAGGCATAGGTTTGTGGAGTTTCACCCAGCTCCGGTGAGTTCGCCCGTTGCAACCCAGCCGGGAAGGAAGCCTCAGGATGCCAAGCCTGCTAAGCCGTGTGTTTGTGCATGGATGCAGCGTGCTCTATCGAAAGATCGTTGCAGAAGACCTGCATCGACACAGTTTCGAAGTGGGCCTCCAGCCAGACGCACCAGGCCAGGACTACTCGTAGCATAGGAAGTTTCACCCACTGTGCATGCAGATGTTAAAAGAGCAGAGACGCGCCGCCAGCTATTGACAGGTCAGCTCCCAATTACCTCTGACTCTGCGGGGTATCTGTTGACTGTTCCAGCATCCTGGTGCACGAAGTGTAGCTGTGAACACCTTGCAAGAGTTGCCACGGAATGCAGGCTCTGCCACCAGTCCCCACGGCCATGTGGTTCGCCTCCAAAGCTGAGGAACTGGAAAGGCGACTGACTCACCGACTGACTACATGTCCAGAAGCAGAGCCAGCAACCGAAGACACCGCTGCAGCACAAGAGTTGGCTTTTGCTCGGGCGTGAGATTAACTTTTGTGGTACCATGCAGGCGGCGCAGCAGAAGTGTGGACCGACTGGAGGCGTCGTGGGCGTCATTGTGACCAGGAAACTCTTTGTCTCTTGTGTGCTTGTCCACATGAGACCTTCCGGCGGAGAAATCGAACAGAGTACTCCGTCAACTTCCCAGATGGCTTGATCCCTGACTCTACCAAGTGGGGTTTCCACAGCAGCCTCCCCTGCGGCTGCTTGAGAGCTGTCGGGCTGTCGTGGGTATGACCTCGGCCTGACGCAAGGGGGGCCGGAGGGATGAATTGCAGGCACTTGGCTTTGCGTCGGTCTGGCCGCCGCCACCTCTGCCACCTCTCTCTGAGGACGGGGTTTCTTTGGGCTCAGTCAGAAAGTTTAGAAGTGCAAGGGCCTGGTTCGAGCAGGAGCTGCGACAGCGACTGGAGAGGCTAGAGGTGCCTGCATCAAGCTTCAGACAGGAGGTGGGATGACATTCTGGATGTATGTAGGGAATGTAGGGTGTCTGCAGGGTGTCTTGTTCTCCTGCAAGGGGTCCTGCACCGAAGCCTCGCCCGGATTCAGCAACACGAGACAGCATTGGAGCATGTTTCGTGCAGCCCGCGTGGTTTGTCATCTCATGAGGTCAGATTGACATGTAAGATACGGGCGAACTGTCGCAAGGAGCCGAGGCCCTCGTCCATCTGAGATCGTCCAAGGAAGCCGAGAGAACGCGCTTTGTTACGTTTTCTTTGATCCAGCGTCGCAATGGCAAGGGAGCCGAGGGAGCCCTCGACGCCGCGCATCCTCATTGAGTCGGATCGTCCGGCAAGGGCTCTTACCCCGCCAGCAACTGCCCCAGCGAGCTCCGATGTCGGGCTGAGCCTGAGCCTGAGCCTGGGCGAGTCTCGCAGGGACTTCCGGCCAGCCACGAGCGAGCGAGCGAGTCTTCGGCTGGTGGAGCAGACGAAAATCGATGATCCGGACAAGTTTAAGATTTGGGATGAAGGAGGAAGGGCCAACACCCCAATCTCCTTCTGGAAAGAGGAAAGGCAGTACGAAGCCGCCGCTGAACAAGCCTTTGGCACATCATCGACGCCTTGGTCGAATCTGTCACACAGGAAGGTCCGAGCCATGCAAGAGAAGGGGCACATGCGGGCCCTACTGCTGGGCCCCTCACAGGGCTCTACGTCGGGCCCGGAAACGCCGCGGGATTTGAACGGTCTCTGGATCTCCACAGATGGGGAGCTGCGAGGGGAGATAGAGGGAGACGTCTTGCGCTGGGACTGCGACGGCTCTCGTTCACGGCTGCAGCTGGCTGGTGAGCGCCAGGAGATCGTTTCTTTAGCCGTCGATGGATGCCGGCACTTTGGAGCCCTAAGCGAGGATGGACGGCGCTTGCTGTGGGCCGACGGAGATGTTTGGGTGCGACACGACCAGGAGGCGCAGGCTCTGGCCAAGGTTGTGAGGGACCAGTGCGGGGGCGGCTGGCAGCCGCAGCCCCAACCTCCCAACGACTGCGAGCTGGAGCCTCAGAAATTCTGTACCCAAGCTGCAGCACAGCGCTTGATGCTTCCTACCTCCAGGCCGTCAGCTGCTGGCCCGCCTGTCGGTGGGATGCCCAGCGGATATCGCGCCCCAAACCCTAAACCTAAACCTCAGCCCAAAACCCTAAACCCCAAACCCAAAACCCTTGTGCCTTCTGCTGTGCAGATTCTCGAGCTAGGATCTAGCAGACGGAAAAAGGCCCTCAAAAAAAAACCCCAAAACCCTCCCTGGCCCAGGCTGGTCCAAATGGAAGCTTCGATGGCGGCCAAACTCCGATGGCCCGGCCTGGCCGAGGCCCAGGGAAGCCCAGGAAGCGGGGGCTCAGGGTTTCCGGTTTTGGGCTTTTGGGGTTTAGGGTTCAGGGTTCAGGTTCCAGAGTTTAGGGTTTAGGGTTCGGGGTTTAGGGCTGAGAGTGTTGCATCTGAGAGGCTGGAAAGGTTTGAAGTCTTCAGGTCTTTGTATGCTGAGAGCACTGCCGCCTTGCATCCGTTTCCAAGCCTTTGCAAATAGACTCCAGCCAGGGTATGGCTGACACGTCGGAGATGTGCAATCGTGGGACACTTTTAAAGACGATTAAAAGATTTGGCAAGTTGCTGGCTTTGCTCGATACCCGTGGATCCCTCGACTCGACTCCATTAGAGACTGCAAATTGCAGAGATTTGCAGAGCACATAGCACCTCACGGTTCTGCGCCGCCTGGGCACATGGAAGCCGGCCAGCTCCCCGGAGGGATATGGGCTCTGGTTGGGGTGCTCTGGTTGTTGTGCCGTCATCGCTGCACTCACGAGAGGTGCCCAGAATGGCTGGTGCAGTGGGCAGAGTCGCTTTGATCCTGAAGGCATGCGGCACAGATCGGCTGGTACGAGACTTCTGAAAGAGCTCGGTTGTGTCCAAGGTGCATGCTCCAGGGCAGACAGCCACTTTGTGCAGTCCGCCGGAGGGTGCGCAGCCAAGAGAGGACAGCTGGGGAGCTGTGCACGGCGTGGCTTGCGAGGTGTTGCATCATTTCGCTGGATGCAGAAGCAGGGGCCTTGCACGTCTTGGCACACTTCTGTGAGAAAGCGAAAGCATTTGCCAGGCTCTGCTCCCGGCTGCAGCCGCTTGGAGGCAACGTCTTCGGCTGCCTCCTTCTTGGCTCCTTGCCGGAGGCGAATCCCCAAGCTTCGAGAGCCGTGTCTAGCGGTCCAGTGGTGACGTGTGTGCCGTTGCAGGTGAGCTCACACCTCTGGCAGCACCAGGTCTTCCAGCGAGATGTTTCACTGTGAATGACTGGCCTGATGCATGCATCTTCGAGGCCCTATGGCTGCGCCTTCAGATGCAGCCTGTCGAAGAGTCGGAGGAATCCGAGCACATTTCGGTCCCGGCCTTGCCGAGGGAGAAGCTGCAACACAGAGGCAGCCGATCCCGCATCCCGAGGTTCAATTTTCCGAGCTTGTTGACCCCATGGCGGACTTTTCAAGATGCCGCTATGCCTTTGCCTCGGCATAAGGCACGTAGCTTGTGTGGTTGATATCTTCATACTGTGTGATGCGGCAACGCTGTGCCTTCACTTACAATCCAGTGCTTCTCTAGCCGATGCGGCTCGCGGGTGTGGACGGGAGGGTAGCCGAGTGCCGCAAACCCGAACCCTCGAACCCTGCAACCCTCGGCGATGGTCCAGAGTTCTCGTCTCGATCTGTCTACACAGTGTCACACCCAAACCGACGAAGCTTCAACTACGATTTTGCAAGCTGCTCAAGCCTTCATGTGAGAGGGTAAGGTGATGTGACGTGGCCGCGAGAGCCATGGACTTCCGTGTGGGCGATCTGGTTCGCCTGGTCGGTCTCAAGAGGGACCCCTTCAGCGAGCTGTGAGTTGTCATGTCCTCTGAAGGGTTCTTTGGGGAGTTGCTTAGATCGGGATCTGTGGCATGTATGCCAAGTTTTCGGGGCAGGAGGACTTCAACCACCACGTGGGGCGGGTCGTGACCTTGCCTGCTGCTAATGGCCGAATCGGGGTCTCTCTGCACGGCGCAGTGTGGGAAGAGCCCGAGAAACCTGTCTCCCAGCCCTTCGTCGGCACAGACTCCAATAGCAGAATTGTTGTAACAGGGATCTCGAATCAGGAAGGCATCTTGAACTGTGATTATGACCCAGAGTTGACACTGGCCTCTGGACCAAAAGCCTCAATGGCCAAGGTATGACCCCTTCAGCTTGGACCCTCAGAACCTCCGCCGAGTCATGTTGCTTCGATGCATGATAGAAACCGATATCATTCATGTATACAACCCAGAGCTTCATGCTGATGTGGTATCATGTGTCCGAAGCCTTTCAATGTGCTTGACGAGCCTTTGCGCCGTCTATGAACGTGGCACAAGTATCAAGGAGGGATCGCCTGTTGCACTTACTTTCCAGGATCAGTGCTGCTTTCAGGCTTCGGCAGGACATTTCCAGAATCGCAACGTTCAGAAGTTGGAATGTATTGGTATTGATAGTTGCCGCCACTCGGACAGGTTCTGCACCGGCAAAAGCTAGGTCCTGCATGAACAAGACTTTATCGATGAAATTTCATCCTTTGGGTGGGTAATCTCAAGAGTGAGTTCAAGTCTTCGCACGAGCCCTTGACGCCCCAGCTCAGGCCAAGGGTGTGTTCTTGGTGGTTGGGTGGCATTGTTCGATCTTGCCATGGTGCTTTGTCCTGGTGCCGTCTCGAATGTTTCGGGTTGCGTGCAAGTTTCGATATTCGACGCAAGTGAATGCTGTCACTGCTTTTGGGTTTCTTGAGGCCTCCGAGCACCGAGAGGACCGGAAGGATGTGTGTTCTGGACAGCATGGGCCCCACCGGTATCAAGAGGCGCTGAGTCCAGCGCCTGGAGAGTGTCTGCCGTCGTCTCACTTGGACTTTCCGCAGGCTTCTCGGCGAGAGCGGCTGGGGCCTGCCGGACAACGTGGTGGAGCTCGTTGCACCTCTCGTGCACGAATCCAGCTGCAAAGCTCCTTCGCTCCTTGTTCAGACGAGGTGTCCCAGCTGCAAATCCTCAGTGTTCAGAGCGACGAGGCAGGATCGCCGTTGCGTGGTATTTGTTCTGAGCGAGAGTTCCTTCTGGCAAAGATGCTGCGCGGACGGTCACCGGCTGCTCAAGTCACATCAGGTTCGGGTGACCAACTGCTCATCCGGTAGGCTCGGCTCTCGGCATATGAGTGCTTGGTTGCCGCAGTATCTTCCCTGGCTTGCTCTGCCCAGGGATGACTTTGACATATCTGTGGCGGGGTGCTCAGAAGCATGGTGGATCTCAAAAAACTTTCAAGAGATACTAAAAAGGCAACTTCCTTTGGCAGGTCTTGAACGAGCACGAGGACGAATGGTGGATTTCTGAACCCGGCAGCTGCCCAGGCCCTTGAAATAGAATTAGAACAGACTATTACATATTGTACTAGAATCTACTGCAAGAAATCAGAAATTTATACACGCACACACACACACATATATATATATATATGTGTATATATATATATATGTATGTATATATGTAAATATGTATATATGTAAATATGTATATATGTATATATGTATATATGTATATATGTAAATATGTATATGTATATGTATATATATATATATATCTACACGTATATGTCCATGTGCATGCACTAGAAATAGAGTAGAAGATGCTATCCTCTTGTCCTGGCACGATGCCCTGAACAGGAGGAGTGGGTCAAGAATACCTTGACTTCTCCTTCGATGCAGTCAGACGCATAAGCTTCGTCGCAATGAAGATCCCGCCTCTGCCACATGGACCTTTGTCAGTGTTGCTGGGCCGGCACGGAAGGTAGAAGAGCTCCTGGTCCGGGCTTGGTCTTGAATAGGCGGATGCTTGGACATGAGAGAGAAAACAAGGCGTGACTTCCACCTCCTTGCGGGCGGAAGCAGTGAGGATCCTGAAAGCTGGGAACGTGCATCGCCGGTGCCCTTGCAGACGCCCCCCGATTGAGCTTGGCTGAGCTGCGAGCATCTGCGAGCCTTGTCGTGCTTCGTGCCCCTGTGCTTTTTCGCCTGGAGCCTGTGGAACCTTTGAGGCTGGACCGAGCGGATCTGTGGCTTGGCCTGCTTTTCAGGCCACCCTCACTTCTGCGGCTCGTGGGCTGAGGCAGGAGTTCGCACTGGTTCCGCCTGTGGAAGCCCAGACCATACGCCTGGTCTGCACGCGCAACGCCGACGCGGCCTCTGCCGAAAAGGAGGCCGAGATCCCACGGCGGCGGCGTTATCTAGGTTCCTATGCTCAACGAGTAAAATTCTTGACTGGTGATGTGCAAACTCCATGAGTCTGATGCTTCTGTGTCACATGACTCCGATATTGTGACAACATAAGGTTCTACAGGTTGCATCGGCCTCTTCCAAGCTCCTTGGACTGGGGAAGACTAAGCTGGGTTCTTGTGAAAGAATTTTGATTTAAGTTACCATAATAGGATATATTAGGGATCTATGGTAAATTAGATGGTTTCCTTGTTATAGTAACTTAAATCTAAATCCCTTAGCAAGCACGCAGTATCTGAAAGAAGTGGCGAAAGTGTTCGGAAGAGCCTTTCCTCGGTGTGTCTCTCAGCTCTCCTCTGGACTGGTGGCGGGGCCTAGACAAAACGGTCATGTCCGAGAATGTGCTAGAATAGACTAGTGATACTAGTGTGTGTGTATATATATATATGATAATGGATACTAGAATGATTCTCTCTACACTCACAGGGTCTTAGGCCCAAGCCCTCTTGGTCTGAGGTGTCCTTCGCATAGGGTGCTGCGTGGAAGGACCCCTCACCCAGTGCACGTGAGAGCGTTCAGTAATTAGCTTCTCGAGGAGTTTCGAGAACAGGGTTTGAAAACAGCTCAAGAGGGCATGACCCTCCCCGAAACGCTGATGTGTTCTGTGTACATATTGTCGAAGTGCCGGAAAAAAGGCCTGAAGCTGGAGGCCCAGCCTTGGGCCGTGAAGTCAGAAACCGCCACCGGATTGCCGGGATGGTCGGAACTTTCTAAAAGTCTTAATGTATTTAGCAAATTTTTCGTTGGGTTGTCGCCAGCAGGGCTTGACATGCCCGCGGAGCCATGGTGGTTCGCACCCAGGCGTCAGTATGTTCAGAAGAAGCCTTGAACCCACCAGCTGCCGCAGCTTTCCACCCGATTTTCGGCCCAGAAGGCAATTTTCATCCTTCGACAGGCAGCTCGCTCGAGGCTGAGGCCCCCGCTTGCCGGAAGAAAAGCTGACAGGAGCTCCGCTTGTTTGCAAGAGAATCCAGCATCCTGGCACAGTAACGGAATCGGAGAATCGAAAGATCGAAACATGCCGGCTATTCCTCGGAAATTCTTCTGAAGACCCTGGAGCAGCCAAGGCCAATGAGGTCCTCTTGGAGGATGAGCAGTGTGGGCCTCTGACTCCGAGCAGAGGAAGCTGTGCAGAGTGGGGAAGAAGCCGAGGATGCTACCACACCGAAAGGGTGCAGGTGCTGCTGGCTGTGTTGGGATGTGACTGCGTCGGTCAGAAGAATACTGTCATGATGAGAAATGTGCGTTCATGATCTCAAGTTTGCATGTCCTGATTGTTATGAAGCCATGGGTCACCTCACCATCCGAAATCTCAGCGGCCAAGAACTGGAGCTGGAATTGAGTGACGGGGAGACGGCCTTCCACGTGAAAGAGAAGATTCACGAACACTGGGGCTTACCTCCCAAGTGCCAAGAGTTGATCTTGCAATCGGCAGCACTGGCAGATGCCTACAGCTTTGCAGATGCCGGCGACAATCTCGAGCTGCTTCTGGTGTGCTCGTTGCGACAACTCTGTGTCAACTTGGGCAGCAGCAGTGCAGCAGCCCGAGCCGCGGCCTTGCAAGACTTGGCCGCCGTGAGGGGGAGCGCTGGAGCTGTGGAGGCCGCCCTCCAATGCCTGGAGGAGACAGGGGACAGGGGGAAGAAGAGAGAACAAACACTGAAAGCTTCTCTAAACGGCCTGAAACTCTTCGTAAACCGGAGGACACGAGTGCCCACGTGCGGGACCGCGCAGTGGAGGCTATCTTGCAGGTCGCAGGGCAAGGCGACCGGACCGTCTTGGAGGCAGCCAACCGGATCCTTCTGCGCCCTGGCTCCAATTGGCGAGCTGAGAGCTCTTCGTAGAATATCCTATTTGTATAGGTCATCATCATCATGACAGGAAGACTACCAATAAGATAAAACAAATAGTATCGACGATAGCAGTAGTAGTAGTAGTAGTAGTAGTCGTGATAGTGGTGGTGGTGGTGGTGGTGGTGATGGTGGTGGTGGTGGTGGTAGTGGTGGTGGTAGTAGTAGTAGTAGTAGTATTGCATTGCCCTCGTCTCGCGGTGTCCCAGCGTTCGACGTAGAGGGACAGACTTATGTCCGGCGGTTCAAGACCGCATCGCTCTTCTGGCGACTCCCACAGCAAAGATCAACTAGGAAAGATGCCTGCTAATCCATCGCCTCTAAATCAATAACTGTCGCAATCTGAGAGTTCTGAGAGATCAGAGAGCTCTGAGAGCTTGAAGCTGCCGTGGAAGGCTGCAAGGAAGCCATCTGCAGCTGCTGCTGTCGAGCAGTGCAACTCTTCTTATGAGACTGCCCCATCGTGGTCTTGCAGACTGAGCAACAGTGCGTGTGATTCTGAGAAACGAATCTCAGACAGCCCAATGTGAGGCAAACAGATATATGAAGCCTCAAAATTCGCCTATGTCGACGGTTGCAGCGTCTGCTGTGTAGACCATTGCTGCTCGCACACTCCCGGCAGCAATGTTGCTGGCCATTCCAGGCCGGACGATCGCAGCCGATAGTAGCACATAAAACCATGACCTGAGTTGCAGCCCATAAGAAAAGTGCAAAGTATAAAGTTCGACAAAGCAGCTCCATGATTGGATGCAATGAGCAAACGCAACGCATTGTCAAGTCTTGCCTGAAGCAACCTACAGCTCGAGTGGTGCTATAAAGCTAGACGGGTAAGCTTTGCATCCCATCCACGCCGTATGGGCTGATGGGTACATCCCGTCAGCAGCAAAACTGGACACACGTGCAGGCTGCACAAATCGCGGGTCTACTGGCTGGGTGCCTGGAAGGAAAAGGACCTAACAAGAGGGAAGAGGCACAAATGCTGTGCAAGGTTAACCCCTAAGTACACAAGGCAAGCTGTCCTGCAGAAGTGATGGCCTAGCCATCGGAAGCTCAGGTGTCGGCAAGATGAAGCCCATACCCTCTAACTTGCTGTGTACATAGGGACCTAGGCGTTCCCAGCGTTGTGCGGTATAAGCCACCAGAGTCACTCGATCGTAACATGCCCAGCTGCATGTGTGATGTAGCTTGCTGTATGCAGGAAAGCGAACTGCTTGTAGCAGAGTTCCGTGACGAGTGCCCCTGATGAGTCGACCCTCGTGCTCAATGTATGCACTTCCACAGGCATCCTCTATCCAGAGTTCTCCTCCCTCATGCAGAGAGAGACTCAACACCAGATTGCAATAGCGACCGTTGCTCGCATCAATGTGTGGCTTGGTGGCATAGTTGTAAAGAACAGCTAGCGAGGTCCAGGTGTGATGCGGGCAGACGTGTGCCACCAGACAATTCAGCAGACATGCTACATTCTGGTGTGTAAGCGTCATTTTGCACAATCCATTATGAGGGCCATGCGAATAAGCCCCAATGCTGGCAGAAGAGGCATTCCGGTCATGTAGCATGTGCTGATGCCTGGGCGTTTCACGCCTAAGGAGGCGCACAACCTGTCGCGCTCCGGACCACAGCGGGCACCGGCCCTCCTCCAAGAGTCCTCTGGCTAATGACTCAGCCGCACTGTCTTGTGTGCCGGTGTCCGCCACCGGAGGTGGCAGTATCGGATGCGCCCGGGCAGCAAAAGTCACAGCCAGCTCATTCGCATATTTGAGGTAAGCTTGCAACTGCGGTGCTTCAAGCATGCTGTTGGCCCAGTAGAGCAGATCATTGCGAGGGAGCAGGCCAATGTAAGACTCAGGCCGATCCCCAAAGCTGCTGAAATAGAGGGCTTCGGCACTATTCAGCAAAAGCGAGGCCTCCAAGATATCATCATACACATCACCGGGCACCTCAATCACCTCTACATCCGAACTCATTAGAGCCAAGCTTGTCCAATCAACAGAAGGTGCTGGGATGGGCAAAGGCCAGGCAGTGCTGAGGCTCCCGCTGTGCGTACGTGCATGAAGCCCCTATGCGTCTACACTCAGCTAGCCAAAACTCTCAGTGGAAACACAAAACAAAGAATACATATATCTCGTCCGGCAAAGCTGTACAAGGACTGACAGGCATCTGGCAACAGAATGAAATGTGCGGCACTTTCTTCTTCGGTGTCCATTCTCTTCGGAGTAACACCGCGCTCGGAATCGCAGCTGGGCTCAAAAGGCCGACAGGAGGCCCAGCTGCTGGCTATGATCTGACAAGGCCTACCAGGTAGGAATTTTTATCAATCAACTTCTGGTCTCTGGGTGTCGCAGGTCGGGGACATCTACGATCATTGCAGATATAGAACTGCCATTCAACAGGGTCCTTAGTGGCATCAGGATGGCTTAGGGCAACTTGATAATGTCCACTGTGTATGGTGGGCCCCTGATGAAAGATAACGAATCCTACTCGGTAGTCCACGGAGAGCACTTCTATGCCGCTGTCCGGAGCACAGAAGTGCGGCAGGCTCACGCGCAAGCCTGGCGGAATGGAAACTTGCTGCATGTCTTTTGCTCGATCGGCATTAAAACGCTCCACAAGAACGCAGACAACACCCTGGTTGTATGCGATGCCATGTATGCTGTGCTGATTACGCCAATCGTTGAGCATGCCTTGCAAGCTGGGACGAGTGATGGGCAGGGTAATGGGTCTATCTAGGGTACCTCTATCCACGATAGTGAAAGGGTTCAGCACGCGGGCTTGCCACTGGCCTGCAAAGGCATCCAGTCGCCAGGTGACGACCAGGTGCTGCCAAAACTCACCTACGTCATGCTGTTGTGTGAGTGCAGGCCATGTCCGAAACACTGATCTCAAGGCCCAGCAATCAGTCAGCAGAACAGTGTTGGGCTGAAGCAATATCTGATGGCCTGTTTGGGACGAGCCCCTCAAAGACTCCGGAGAGTCAGTGAGCTCTCGCAGCCAGTACCATGCCTGGAGAGCAGAGTTCGCATAACACACATTCATGCCTGCAGGATTGGCAAGCCTAGCCTGTGGCAGCTGCAAAGGGCCACTCAGGCTCAGCCGCACCGCCCTAGGCGCGGCTTCTTCGGGTCTCGGCCGCCCTAGGCCGAGCCCGGGGAACGATTGTTCCTCCTCGGCTTCCATTCGCAGAAGTCCTGGCTCAAGTACGCCTGCTCCAGTAACTGACTCATGTTGCCGCGATTGCCGCGCTCGGGCTTGATTCTCATC